GGCTTAATGACCATTAAATTGAGCTGCCATGTCTTCATCGATAAGGCTTCAATTAAAAGGCAATTATCTTGGGTGCAATTAGCAATGCCATGATAAGTATGAGGCTTTTCAACGCAGTCCTGATTAGCAGGATAGAAATTGTCATTATATTAGTCAGTGCTAATTAGCACGATTTCGCTTTGAGCGCTCATGATTAACGTCGCATTAATTAGCATAGTTAAGTTAGCTCATTAACTCGCGTGCCTTTGTTATCCCGGTTCTAGCTTTACATGGCTTCATCAGCATGGTCTTCTTAAAATGTGGCGTAATTACCTCGACCTTTCCATGACTTGGCGTAATTAGCTTGGTCATAGCATGTCCTGGCCTACCTGGCGAAGCACGCCGTCCAGCAAAAGAGCTAATTTGCCGGCCGCACGTACTCGGGTGCTAGCGGATGACAACAAAGACGACGCGCCACGGCCGAGCAGTGCGCTTGAATGTACAGGCTGACACGTGACCTCGCTAGAATGTACAGTGCTATACTCGGCTGTCTAAAACGATGGAGCGTTGTGCGCGAAACAGCACGGGTGACATCTGCAGTCGCAAATATACGCCACATCTGAGCACGCGCAGCGCCAGTGATTTGCCTGCCTCGCAATACTGATTCCTGTTTATCGCCGCGGGTGCAACAACCGCTTTGGCCGTCGAAAGCGCTCTGAGTGATTTTACGTAAAAACAAGAAAGAAAGACGAAGAAGTAAAACCGTTGTCGCTGTGATATGGTATTACGAAACGAGAATATTTCTGTGTTGTTTTTGTTTTATTTCAATTTCGTAATGTTGACAGCGCTTCGACGGCCAAAGTAGCCATCGTGGCCGCGGAGATAAAGAAGGGGGGAAACTGCAGGGCAGGCACATCATTAGCGCCGCGCATGCTCAAATGTGGCGTATATGCGACTGCAGATGTCGCTCGTGCTGTTTCGCGCGCGACGCTCCGTCATTATAGACAGCCGAGTTGAGCACTGTATATTCCGCAGCGTGGCCTCGGATTTAGCTGCGGTCGCGATGTTGTGAAACGCTCAGCCATTACCGATCTCAGAGGCCACCGTGCTGTATATTCTAAAACAAACTTAGTGCGGCCATTAAAAGCTCAAAATGAATTTAAACATTCCTGCTTATAAAAATATCATCACAAAAGGTTTCCGACATATTTATTGCATGGGTGTTCTTGTGCACTCAGTGGAACAACAAACAAATGAAAGAAGATGCCTCTGGTTTGAAAACACCACCCAACTTAGTCGAGCGTCTATAACGCGATCACTGGTTCCATCGTAACCAATAAAACGCAGCGTGCTGACAGGTGGATTTGACTTTCTCGTCCTGTTGGCTCGTTCATAAGGGGGTGTCACCAGAGTTCGGGAATATCCCGAGTTTCGCGAAGCTCGGCCAATCCTACATAGCGCCCCTGTATAGAATACAGAGCATTACATGCACTGTATAGTATACAGCACTTATAGTCCTGTGTAGCATACAGGAGTATACATGCACCTGCATGAATAATGCAATACATGACTACGCTATGTTCTAACCTACCCTTTCTATTTTGGTCCCCCTCAATTTCACTTTCATTCCACACATCATTGCCATACATGGCTACGCTATAACAGGGTTTGGCCCGCGCGTCGCCATACATGAATTTTCTGTGCTTTTCCGTCACCCATTCCCTTTTCACTCATCCTCAACCTCACATCACTGCACCCTACCTCTCTTTCTCACCCCCTTGCTCTGCATGACTGTGTAATACATGGTTCTGCTGGCTAATACCATACAGGACCAAACTAAGCTTTACACTGTACCTTGGCCCTTTCAATCCTCCTAGCCTTCAGATCTCTCCTCGCCGTCACCTCTCTTTCCCACCTCCTTGGTTTACATAGCTATAATGTACTTTTTATTGCACGCCGGACGCGAAAAGTTGCCATAAGAGGGCCTCATACTGAGACGTCCACCCAGAGGTCCAGGAAAGTTTTAGTGGTCGCTGATCAACAAAACTTCTGGCGATTGCGTCGGCCAATGGTGATAGCGTATGGTGACTTAGAACGCTTTTTACGCAGACAGCCGGGACAAGAAGGTGACGAAAGTCGCTAGTTAACGAGTGTCGTGTCCTTGTCTCCATTATCTCTGTAAAAACTGCACTGTTTCACAATGCGGCACAATAATCAGTCACGAACTAGCCCAGCTCTACACCTCACTGACGGTCGGCTAAACTTGCTCTTCAGAGGAGTAGCGTCCGCTTCCTTCTTGTGGGGCCTCTGCCTTTAGCCAAGTATTTCACCCACTACCAAATCTGCCAGTATAATGACAAAATACTGACGCATTAGCATTCAAGAACTTGCTTTTCGGAAATTCCGGCGTCGGCGTCAGTGATAGTGAGGGAAAAATGATCATCTTAAGCGTGGCCGAAAAATCATCTACCTGTGTGTGAGCAAAAATTGGGAAAGAAGAAAAGAAAACAAATATTTATTGATTGATATGTGAGGTTTCACGTCCCAAAACCACCATATGATTATGAGAGACGCCATAGTGGAGGGCTCCGGCAATTTCAAACAGCTGAGGTTCTTTAACGTGCACCCAAATCTGAGCACACGGTACTATAGCATTTTCACCTCTATCGAAAATCCAGCCGCCGCAGCTGGGAGTCTATCCCACAACCTGCAGGTCAGCAGCCGCGTACCTTAGCCACTAGACCACCTTGTCAGGGAGCAAAACAAATAATTAAAATTTCTGGGTCGGACTGCACATCGAGCCCGGTTCTTTTGCGTGGCAAGCGGGTGCCCTACCACGTAGCCTTGCGTCTGCTTGTGAACACGCTGAAAATAACACCGTCTGCTTGAAAATGCAGTGAAAGTAACTTTTATGCTTCACAAACACAGACGTCCTGTATACATGATTCACAATACAGGATCAAACATTGCAGTAATAATGCGTGGTACAAGCGCACATTGCCATTGGTCGTTAGAACGCGTGATCATCGTAATGAGTTTATGGTATAAAGCTTGTCACTGACTACAAAAGGAACACAGATTACTGCACCTGTTCCCGTAAGGCCCTGAAGTGGGTGCATAGCAAGTTCGAAAAGGTTTTACCCTACTAAGTATTTCAAGTACGCCCCATCGACAGGATATTGCTATCACGTCGTTATACTCTTAGAGACGAGGCTTGGAGGTCCCTGATTTTTTCCTTTCTTCCTCCACCTTCATTCTCTACCTTCTCACCCACAATCACTTCTCCACAGGCTCACCTCCACTTGCCACTTTGATAAACATGGCTCTACTATAAATTGGTAGGCTATTTTCGCATTTGCCTGCGTTTCATCAAGTGACTTGAGGCGACATTTATGGTTGATAGATCGTTGAGACCCCTCATGTGCTTCGCTCTTGAAATGGCAAAAGAAACTTTTATACAAGCATCAAACAACTAGCTGAATGACAAGTTTTGTCAGCAATTTATTCCATAGATTTCATTGAAAGATTCAATGGGGAAGAATTACTACAAATATAAAACAATTAGTGATTTTATTTTGTGATATGTCTTTGCACAAAGTGCTAGAAATTGTTGGTATTTGAGATTTTAGCGTTCTTGTCACTGTCTCTTGTACGGTACTTAAAAATAAAAACCATTCCACCACTTAACTAATGAAACCTTTTTATCTAACCAAAATTTTCTGATTCACTTACTGGCAATTTTAAATTTATTGAAAAAGCCACCCTAACATGAAGTATTACCAACATTTTTGACTGCAAAGGTTTCCTTACCCTGTGATGAAATATATCACGTCGTATTCTTCATACTTGTAGTAGTGATGATAAACGTAGTCTTTTAACCGCTCCAGTGACTTGCCGGAAGCAACGAATCTATTTACTTTGTACAAAAAACTTTCTTCGTATACCTATAAAAGACCAAAATGCATTGTTTCATGTTGACAAAAAACAATAAATACAGAAATGTGGGCTAGTTGGTAGGGCTGCATGCTGAAACGTTTGCGCACACGACATGAGCACACCGACCGAAGATTCACAAGGACCAGCGCAGACTATAGAGTGACCGTTGTTCATAAAGAAAACACCTAAGGCCCCAACGCTGTGGTCTAGTGGCTAAGGTACTCCGCTGCAGACCCGCAGGTCACGGGATCGAATCTCGGCTGCGGTGGCTTCATTTTCGATGAATGCGAAAATGCTGTGGGCACTTTCGCTCAGATCAGGTGCCAGTTAAAGAACCCCAGGTGGTCAAAATTTCCTTAGTTCTCCACTACGGCGTCTCTCGCAAAAAAATGGTGGCTTTTGGACGTTAAACTCCACACGTCTAACAAACCACCTTATAAAGTCGTTCTGCCAAGGATATATATAGTGTTTTCTTATTGAATAAACGTTAGTTGATAGCCTGCGCTAGTCCTTCTGAACCTTTCATCTGTGCGCTCGTGTTGTGCGCACAACAGCTTGAGTATGCAACTATTGTAAAGTTGTACTTACAGTGAAAACCTCCACTGCACATAACCTCAGTCGGACTGCAGGTTCTGAAACGGTCAGGTACCTAACATTCACCTGAAGAAAATATTTTCATTAAAACACTGAAAAACCAAAGGTAAATTCAGGTCAATTCTGTCCTTCAATATTTTAATTTCATTCATGAACCAGTACACTGTTAACGTAAGCGGCATAAGCACAAAATTTCTCGGGACGGTTAGGGGGGGGGGGGCAGATTTTCATGTGCTGGGCAAGTAGATGTGGCCGAGTGTCTTTTTGGGGTCCGTATACTGTCATAAATGAATGGGAGGGGGGGTAGGAAGAGAGAAGAGGGCACGGAGAAGATGGGCCACCTTTTGACTACGCCACTGCATTGTATAGTATGGAAAGATTATAGTATACCATATGATGAAATATAGTTTATTTATTTATTAAAATTACCTCAAGAACCCTGTACACAGGGTTTCACATGAGGAGCTTACCGAGTTTATAGAAATGATGGCATAGCGAAGGAGTGCCTTGTGATCTGGAAATTGGCTGGCAAATGTGCTGTCTACACAGATTAGAAGCTCTGGGCGAATAAGGTCCACGGTGTCACCTAGCAAAATATATAAAACATTATTTAGACGTACGTTAAAATAACTGCCTCATGGGCATACAATTTGTCACCGCAATTTACGTGCCTCCGAGAGACGCACCTTTGTTTTCCTGTCGGTCGGGGACATTCGAAGAAGCGTGCGTGAAGACAGCTTCTGCAATGACATAGTTAGGGTTATTGTTTATCAATGGTGTGACATAACACAGACCAAGTATGCAAGCAATAAGTCCTGATTATAAAAGTGACAAATTTTCTCTAAATATTTGAAGTTATTTTAAAATATATAATAGTCCTTTTACCTTGCTGCGAGGTGTAGCAATGCCTTTGGGCTAGAATGACATTGCCATTGAGCAGATTTTGAGGGATGAGTGTAATATTGTCTTTATAGGACAAAGACTTTCGTCTGAGGCATATTATCACAGCTTTAAAGAGGAGCGATCATTTGAAGAAGTAAAAGTTGTGTTTCATGTGAAAACATTCAACTTAACAAAATTCACTTTAACCGTCGTTAACTGCCGACTACGCCATAAATTTCTTTAGCGATTGTGCGAAGGGCCCACTACGTGTTCCTAAGGGAACACGCGAGCCTGCACTGCTGCTCATTCTGTTTATGCTGTTTTTCTTGATGAGGACTCTGTCTCTAAGCCTTTTCTGATTTGTGGTTTATTAAAACGCCCAATGATTACATATATTATGCCTGGGCGATAGCACGTTTCTTCCACGAATTATTACATGCGTCAAGAATGCTCCTTCTACTCCACGACAATTCTATATTGTCATTGAACACCTGCTCACACCGCATACGGCATGGTTATGATTCTCACTCGTTCGAAAGGCTTCTAGTGTTTTTTTTTTTGCTACTGCATGACATTCGTATAGTGTTTTTAAGACACTTTCAAGCAGTAGCGTCTGTCTGTGGTAAACCACCTGCATGTCTCAAATCAACCTGTGTTCGATTTTACCTGGAGGTGCCCAAATTTATTGTGTGATATTTTGGATCTTTCTCAATTTTTTTATCATGGGTAAGATAGTAATATTAGGTCACAACTAATCACACCAACACCACCAACGCCAACACCGGAATTCCTTCCAAACGAGCTCCTAATGATATCATGTTAAAAGACTACTAAAGTGTTGGTTACCTTCGTACGCGCAACATGATAGTCGCTTCATATTGTTACGTGATTTCGGCTGACTGGAACAGGGCATATCGGGACATACCCAAGAAAGGTGCCTCAGACTGAGAGTGAAGAAGTGGACGTTGTCGGTGAGCTGCGTTGAGGCTGTAGACTGACTACTGTTATTTTTTCCACGTAACATTTTGGTGGAGGTGCTGGGTACTCTTCTGAAAACGGAGATACGCAGTGGACGCCTCCTTAAGTCTACTACCATGGCTCCGGGGTGAGGATACGGCTTCGCCACCTACCTCAGCAACGACAGCAACCCGGTACGTCGCCCTAACGCAACCCCGTGATCCCGGTACTTTTACTGGAGAGGAAAACGCGAATGTGGACAAGTGCACATGGCTTAGTATGTACGAGCGCGTAAGCAAGCAATATGGCTGGGACCCAACCGTTATGCTTGCGACTGTCATTTTCTATCTCGACAAGACCTCTCGCATCTTGTTTGAGACCCATGAGAAAGAGATCACAAGCTGGGAAATGTTTAAACAACAGCTACGCGACCTCTTTGGCAACCCATTTGGTCAACAGCTTGATGCCCGAAAGCAATTGGCCGTACGTACACAGACGTCCACTGAGCCCTACTTGACTTACATTCAAGACGTCTTAGCGTTGTGTCAAAGGGCCTATCCCAAAATAACTGAGGCCGACGAGATTTCGCAAGTTTTAAAAGAAATCGCCGACGATGCGTTCAGCCTGCTTGTATTTACCAACATAACCACCATCGACGCCGTGATCAAAGAGCGCCGCCGTCTCGAGAAGGCGAAGAGTCGACGCATTTGCAGCAGTTCCAGCGCCTACCCAACACCGCGGCAATGTCGTCTTGCGAAGCGACTCCTTGTCATCCGTCTACGACCAAAGAAAGTGACGCGCATCGTCCGACGTGAACTCGAGGCCGCTTACCCGGCTGCCAACAAACCGACGTTGCCCGACGCCTCAACGCCAGCTGTCGCCTTGATCCGGGCTGTTGACCGTCAGGAATTCGCTAACCTTGGTATCCTGTCCACTGCACCTACCCTGGATAATAATGGACCCTCGGTAGCTTCTGTGGACATGAGACATCGCCTTCCGTACTCTAATCGAACCAGGAATCCGTCTGAATGGTGAACAGCTGATGATAAGCCAATCTGCTTCCGCTGTGGTCGCGCAGGACACATCGCTCGTTACTGCGGCAGCCAATGGCCATCTATGTCTTCTGGCTCCTACCACGCTTACAGTAACTCATTCCGTCCACCAAACCACTGTTATTCGACCCGCACTGAGTCTACAGCATTTACTGCCCCTGAGGACTACGGCCACCCTGTCCCGTCGTCGCCAACGCCTCAAAGCCGCCCTTCTCTTTCAAATACGCGTTGCCGCTCTCCCTCAACATCGTTTAAACGCCGCATGTCCCCGGAAAACTAGGCTGCCCAGCTTCTGGAGGTGAAGCTGCCCTGTCGACCTTACCCAAAAATCCTCTGTTGCCCTTACGTTTGAACCGGAACACCCTAGAAGTATATGTTGATGGCACACCTGTTGAAGCTTTGATAGATACGGGCGCTCACGTCTGTATTATGAGTTCGCGTTTTCATCGTCGCATGAAGAAAGTTCTCACGCCCTTTTGACCAGTGTCGTCCAAGTTGCAGATGGCGCAACAGTCCCTGTTGTCGGTATGTGCACAGCTCAACTTACCGTAGCCGGTCATCAAGTGGTCGTCCTTTTTACGGTGCTTGCAAAATGTCCCCACGACCTCATACTAGGCCTCGATTTTCTTGCCGCCAATTCTGCTCTGATTGATTGCTCCACTGGTGTGCTTCGCCTAGAACTACCACAAATCAGTGACGCCCCGTACTAACCTACATGCCGATTACAATGCAGCGACTTTGTTCACCTGCCCTCCAAAACTGTGACGTACGTCGATTTTCTGTGCTCACCAGCTGTGCCCGACGGTCACTATTACGCTACGCCTCTCACCGACGTACTCCTTGCGCACAATGTTGCAGTGCCCTATACGGTGCTCAGCATCACAGATAACAAAACTTGTCTACCACTTGTAAGCTTCGGCTACATGAATCAAGTGCTTCCACAAGGCATTTCCGTGGCCCACCTGTGTCCGTTGCTCGATTCACAAATTGAAGTGCTTGCCTTTGACACCCTTGTTTCACCGCAGCGCACATCACTCGCAACACATTTCGGCAGCAGTCAAATTGTAGACTTGATCGCCACTGATCTTCCGCCTCCACAAGTTGAAGCCCTACAACATCTTCTTGAGGCCTACCAGGATATTTTCGATTTCGGCGACCGACCTCTAGGGCAGACGTCCTTTGTCCAGCATCACATACACACAGGTGATGCCAACACTGTTCACCATCGTCCCTAAAGAGCGTCTGCTTTTGAGTGGAGCATAATTAAGAAGGAGGTGAACAAAATGCTAGCGAAGGACATTATTGAACCATCCTCCAGTCCCTGGGCATCCCCGATAGTATAAGTCAAGTGTGGACTATCGCCACCTTAACAACATCACCAAGAAAGACGCATACCCTCTGCCCCGCCTTGACGACGCCCTTGATTGCCTCCATGGTGCCGCCTACTTTTCTTCCATCGATCTTCGTTCTGGTTATTGGCAGATTGCCGTGGACCCCATGGACCGAGAGAAGACGGCTTTTGGTACACCCGATGACCTCTACCAATTCAAAGTCGTGCCTTTCGGCCCATGTAATGCCCCCGCCACCTTTGAACGAATGATGGACTCCCTGCTCCATGGATTGAAGTGGTCTACGTGTCTTTGTTATTTGAATGACGTGATCGTGTTTGCTCCCAATTTTGAAGCGCACCTTGAGAGACTGTCGAAAATTCTTGATGTATTGCGTCTCGCAGGCCTTCAGCTGAATTCATCCAAGTGCCGGTTTTTTCGCCGTCACATTACAATACTTGGACATATTGTTGACGCTTACGGCGTACAGCCTGACCCAGAAAAAGTTCGAGTTGTGAAGGACTTTCCTGTGCCAAAAACTGCCAAAGATGTCCGCAGCTTTGTGGGGCTCTGCTCCTATTTTCGGCGGTTCATCAAGAACTTCGCGGAAATCGCTCGGCCCCTAACAGATTCACTGAAACCAGATGAGACGTTTACTTGGGGTCCCTCGCAAGCAGCAGCATTCTCCGACCTGACCACTTTGCTCACTTCTTCTCCTGTGCTGGCTCACTTCGACCCTATGGCACCGACCGAAGTCCGCACCGATGCCAACGGTTACAGAATAGGCGCTGCGTTGGCTCAGCGACAACGTGGGCAGCATCGCGTGATAGCTTATGCCAGCAGGCTGCTGTCCCCCTCGGAGCGTAATTATTCCATCACAGAGCGCGAATGCCTAGCGCTGGTGTGGGCAGTCGCGAAATGTCACCCTTACTTATACGACCGACCATTTATAGTTCTCACCGACCACCACGCTCTTTTTGCTGGCTCGTCTCCCTCAAAGATCCCACAGGTCGTCTCGCCCGCTGGGCACTGCGCCTCCAGAAGTATTCTTACACCGTAGTGTATAAATCAGGAAAACAGCACAAAGATGTGGATTGTCTGTCACGCTACCCTGTGGCCGACTGCGACCCTACGAGCACTGATTATGTGGGTTGCGTCCTTTCCATCTCCCAGCTGCTTCATCTCGGGGACGAGCAGCGTCGCGATCCGGATATCAGCCGCCTAATACAACAGCTCGAATCTTCACCGCAAGACGCTTCTGTTCGCATGTTTACCTTAAAGGACCACATCTCATATCGGCGTAATTTATCGCCCAATGGTGACGACCTACTTCTGGTCATACCAAAGCACCTGCGCTCCACAGTCCTACGCGAGCTCCATGACACGCCAACCACCGGTCACCTTGGTGTCTCTCGCACATATGACCGTGTGCGCCACCGCTTCTACTGGCCTGGCCTTTCACGCTCTGTACGTCGTTATGTCAACGCTTGTGAAATTTGCCAGCGTCGCATAAAGCCGTCGGGACTCCCTTCCGGATATCTTCAGCCCATCGACATCCCATCGGAGCCATTCTTTCGTGTTGGTTTGGACCTTCTCGGTCCCTTCCCAACATCCGCCTCCGGAAACAAGTGGGTCGCGGTGGCTATGGATTACGCGACCCGTTACGCAGTTACGCGAGCCATACCAACAAGCTGCGCTACAGACGTCGCTGATTTCCTGCTACGCGATCTCATTTTAGTGCATGGAGCCCCTCGTCAACTGCTTACAAATCGAGGCCGTACGTTCCTTTCGAAAGTGGTTGACGATATCCTGCGTTCCTTCTCTACCCAACATAAGCTCACGACATCGTACCATCCCCAGACAAACGGGCTTACAGAACGTTTAAACCGCACCCTGACCGACATGCTATCGAAATACGGCTCGGCCGACCATCGTGATTGGGACCTTGCACTACCCTACATGACGTTCGCATACAATTCCTCCCGGCAAGACACTGCTGGGTACTCGCCATTTTACCTTCTGTTTGGACGCGAACCAACATTGCCGTTGGATACCTTCTTGCCAGCCGCTGCGCAGTCTACTTCTGAATATGCACGTGACGCTATTACCCGAGCTGACCATGCTCGTCAGCTTGCCCGCAGCAGATTAATGGCGTCCCAAGACTCGCAAAGGCATCGTTACGACGACCGGCATCGCGACGAACACTTTCCAACAGGTTCCCTCGTTCTTCTCTGGTCCCCTACGCGACATGCAGGCCTTTCAGAAAAACTTTCCTCTCGTTTTACGGGCCCATACCACGTGCTTAGACGAGTGACCGACACTACATATGAAGTTGTCCCTGATAATCCATGAACCTGTTCTGCTCTGCTGTCAAGAGACATCGTCCACGTATCAAGGCTCAAGCGTTACCACACTGCTCCTGCTGTGACCCCGTAAACTCGCCAGGTCGGCGCTTTGCCGCCGGGGGTCGTGTTACGCGATTTCGGCTGACTGAAACAGGGCATAGTGGGACATACCCAAGAAAGGTGCCTCAGACTGAGAGTGAAGAAGTGGACGTTGTCGGTGAGCTGCGTTGAGGCTGTAGGCTTCTACTGTCATTTTCCACGTAACAATATAATAAAGCTCTACCCTTTCCTCTCCAAAAGTGCATTTTAACACAATAGCACTAGGCAGCTCGTTTCACAGAAATTTCGGGCATCTTGCATTGATATCGGCGTCATTGTCGATGATTCTGAGCGGAAAATCACGTTGTCTTCAACTGAAAAATTGATAACGATGCAAGTAAAATATATTTTCAAAATTTTCTGTTGAAAGAGACAATCAAACCCAGGTTGTTTGCGTGGTAAACAGGTGTTTCCTCACATAGCCACACCATGGCTTGTTAAAAAGAAATAAACGGTACATGAATGTCTTGTACTAGAAGTAGTCTACTTATCGCGTGTAATATTGTGTGATAAAATTGTAAAATTGGCTCGCGTGTGAAAGCATGTAAATTGCTCAACGAGTGGGTGTTTGTAAGCTGTCCTACGATTTGAATGATTGCAGAAGAGTGCACGGAGCACCTTACGCATAAGCAGTGGGTACTTTGTTAATAAGCAAAACAATAACTATGGCGTAGTGTGCTTGCACTTAGGTCTTTACTTTGACTGGATATTGTTGGATCGCTTGAAACGGCCAATTTTACAAGTAAAATTGTTCCTGTCCTTGCGGCACAGAAGGAGGCAATGCGCGTGAGGTGAGATTACGCCATCGCGTCTTACTCTTGCAGGCGAAGCTGAAGAGGCCTCTATGTGTTTGAGTTGAGTCTAAAGTAGACTGACGCCATTGACATGAAAGAGCTATAAACTAAAATACCCATCAATGACTGGTCTTCCTTATTAAAGAAACTTTCTAACAACTGCCACATTTTCATCATGATTACGTTCGTTACGTTAGCATGAATACGAAAATACCGCGCCAATGTTTTGACGCTGATTTCTCACCACTTCCACTTTCGGTTTCATCAGCAACTTCATAAAGAATATGAGCATTGTGTCCGTCTGCGGTTCTTGCAGCTTCGAGTGAGGGTCTTATTCTTAACCTTGGTCCCAAGACGCCTTCCTGAAAAGTTGAATAGATTCGGGATGCCGCATAAAATCACAAACTTGGGCTGGCTTCATGCAATCGCCTCCTTAGCTACAGGTTGAGGAGACAGCTTTCCGGTGCATCAATTTGGCTATGAAAATTCCTGTTAGCTAGCACTCATACACATGTTTAGCAAATATTGCCATTCAAAACAAAACCGTTCGCATGGATCATATACGGGCCGTTCACAAAGAAGGTTCGAGGTCAAGATTCCATTTAACATCATGTCAATACATAACTTCCAAATGAGAAAAATCTGTAAGCTTAATCTCAAACACTGGTTTTGTTTGCGGTTACAATTGAACAAGTGAGGGCCGTGTGTTCGAAATCCTTGTTCGCAGTCTACCAATATTCATAGCTGATCACATGAATAGTGCCATAAGATTTTGGCTTGCAATAAGGTAGAGATCTTTAACGCTCTACCATAATCACAGCTCTATAAACGAGTAGTATAAGATATTTGTACCGAACTTCAGGTCACACAACTTAAAACGCCACCGTGGTACCATAGCGGTAGTTTTATTACCTTCCTGAACATTCAAATGGACATCAAGTAGAATGTTTACCCAAATAATATAAATGACAGGTGATAACGTGAACGCTAATGACATTGACAACACAAATGACGTGATGCTAAAGCCTCTCAAAGCGTTTCTTCAGTGAATCGATGTCACATTTTGAGAACCAATGCGTTCACAGCACTGTCCTTGCGTTAGACACTGCCCCCTATCCGAGCCTTTCGAGTCAACAACACTTCAACGAGAAGCAGTGGTTTCTTGTGAGGGTGAATGGTGTCCCCTCCCTGACTGAGCACACTAGGTACTAGATGTGTTACAACGTCTCATATAGCGTCCTGTCAAAATAAGCTGCGTTGAGTTGTCACTGATAAACAGTGTGAGCAATGGTAAAGTTGAGCCTCACCACTTTCAGTCCACTTTCTTGTGACACCATTACAGAGGATAACGAACGAAGGTCGTGGTAGAGGTTTTCTTCTAACGATTCTCCATCAAGCTTGAAAAGAATACACAGAAAAGATGATTATTAGGACACGTTTCATAACAGTACTTTGATAACATCACAATAAATAATAGACTGTCACAAATATTTTTTGAAAAAGTGGTACTGATGATGAGACCCGTGTTTTCATAATGCTGCTTGGTGAACTTATTATGACGGCTTTGTACTAGGTATTTCGACGTAACCTTAGACATTAGTGGACAGTGAAATAAGTAAATGAACAAACAAGCTCCAGAATGACGAGCATCCCCAAACCAATGTGCATTTTTGGCTACAATTTCTTGTAGCCAGAAGTAGTACTTAACTACGTAAAAGTGCAGGAGATTGTAATACAGTCAAACGAACATCACGGCGTAAGAGAGCCAGGCCTACGGCTATGCTTTTCACACTGAAGATGAAAGCTTTCAACATATCTCGCTGGTAATGCCCGCAAGTCTAGGTTCATGTAGAGACTTCAGTTTAGAATACAATTCAGTATGGCTGATATGTGGGCTAGTTGGTCCAAATTCATGGCTTATTTGCGCTGCCAGGAACCAGCTCGGCGACATGGCTACACGCACGTATTACCCTATGTGTGTCTTTTTCTGGGGAGGCTACAGCCAGTTGCTTGCAGCACAAATAAGCGATACATTTCAGTGCATGACCTAATTATAAACGCAATCACGTAAATCAATGTCAAAGTAAAAATACGAGTAACGTTTGTGCTCTTTTTTGCCGTATTATCATGCGGTGCTTAGTGAAAATAACTGTTATGTGAACTTTACCTGTTGTATTCTTACTCAATGCAAAGCAAAACACCATAGGTGAAAACGCTGCCCCTTCATCGTTTCGGAACAGAAATATGATGCTGCCAGTTAACAATGACACACAAATTTATGATAAAATTAAAATGCAACGTGAGCACCTGAATTGTAGGCACGTTAACCCCATTGTCTCAGTCTACAGCATTATTATTAGAACCGTGTAACTTTGAGAGTAATAGATTGTGTGAAGTTTCAGTCACTTTTCCTCCTACTAAGTTGCAGCAGCAAGTTTCATGTTGCACTACAGGCTGACAAGCCCTTTTCAAGAGTAGCGGTGGCGTGCAAAACATCACTTGCGGCTTATCACTAATGTGTCCGCACACATATGATGTTGAAACTTTTTCTTCACAACTCATATTTTCAAATAAAAATAAAGCACGAATTTCTTACGACGTTGGGAATGAATAATAATGAATCTTTTGTGTTACACTTCAAGAAGAAACACGCCGTCATAATACATAGAAGTTGCCAGACATAAAAATGGCTGCGGAAGCAGTTTTTTCTTATTTTGACAGTCCCTGGCTTGCCACAAGTTGGTCTATTCATGGGCGACATTCCTACTTACGTATGTATGCTGCATTAGGCGCCCATCATACGTCCTCAGAAGAAACTCCTTGGCTAGCACTGAGCTCTTCTCCAAATACAAAGTCAGATCTTCCGTAATTTTTAGCACTTTTTCTGCGCTTATATCTCGAACTTCTATCAGCTCAGGAAAAACTATTTTCTCAAGATGGGAAGCTGAAAAAAAATACAAAGTAACTCACATGAGCGTCCACAATGCACAACGATACCGCAAATTGTTCAAAAAATAAATAATTATGAAACGATTACCACAATATTCTCCCCACTAGAGGAACACCGCCACCATTTTGTGTGATGAAGTTGCTAATTACACTATTTTCGCTAGTGATGTGTTACAGCGATCACACATTCATAAATAAACTGCCTTATAGAATACACTCACATATTTTTATTGTATGAATTCAGTTGGTATTCATGTATTGCAAACACTGTCGACACTACAAAACACAAAGATAATGATAAATAACAAGTTACCTAACATATCTTGAATATCAGGCTGAGAATATTACGCACAAATGATTGTACTTAATGTACTATACTTTGACTCGTCTGTAAGTCTTTTCTTCAATTCGATGCGAAATCGTTAATAATGAAATAATGGTAGATGGCATTTTTAATCCCACACTTTCGATATTACTGTAGGAGATGCTGTTGTGGAAGACTCTAAGTTGCAGCCAGCTGGGGTTTTTCAACGCACCCGTGCATCTAAGCGCACGGGCTTCTTGCAATATGATTCAATGAAAATGCCCCCGAAGTGCTCGGGATTTGCTCCCACGACTTTCCGACCAGCCGTCTTACGTCACAATCAGAAGGTTACAGCGGGAGACGATAATTTATATGAACAGTATCTACCACATGTGCCCCTAAAGCTACAACAAATTCGATATTCTCCAGGGATTATTATTCACGAAAAACATCCACAGACATTATAAGGTCTTTTCAAGGTTCCTGACAGAAAACGAATACACAGTTTGGTAATCTCATGAACATCGTTTGTTTTCGTTGACAGGCTGAAAGCTGCAGCCAGGATCTGGTTAAAATAACCAAAAATTACTTTAGCGATAAGTGACCCCGATAAACCAAATACACAAAGTGGTGCAATCGTTATCAATGATAAAGTCGATCCAATACCGAGTCAATCTACGGTCATAAGCAAATTCTTAGTAAAGTGAAGGTCTCATCATGCACTGAACAGTGTCCTACTTGGAAGGCTGAGCTTAAGGAAGCAAAAAAATAACAACCAGATTAAGCAGCCACCGTGAACGCTTATTGGAGCTTTTGTATTCAATATTTCATATTATGTAGTACGAAAGAGAATAGTGTGTTTCTGGTGTCCTAGTACTTTTTTTTAATTCCTTACAGTTAAACCGCACCTTGCAAAAAAAAAAACGGCAAGAACATCGTTTGTTTTCGCTGACAGGCTGAAAGCTGCAGCCAGGATCTGGTTACTATAACCAAAAATTGCTTTAGCGATAAGTGACCCCGATAAACCAAATACACAGTGGTGCAATCGTTATCAATGATAAAGTCGATCCAATACCGAGTCAATCTCCGGTCATAAGCAAATTCTTAGTATACTGAAGGTGTCATCATGAACTGAACAGGGTCCAACTTGGAAGGCTGAGTTTAAGGAAGCAAAAAAATAACAACCAGATTAAGCAGCCACCATGAACGCTTATTGGAGCTTTTGTATTCAATATTTCATATTATGTAGTACGAAAGAGAATAGTGTGTTTCTGGTGTCTTAGTACTTTTTTTAAATTTCTTACAGTTAAACCGCACCTTGCAAAAAAAAAAAAAAAACGGCATAGTTACTGCTCAGTGCTGGACGCCCACTCGTAGATCGGTGTATTGTATACCTATAGGTACCGTGTTTACTCTATTAAACTGACAAACGCTTGACATGCCTGAATATTTCTTTTTACAGGAATGTAAATGGCTCAAGCCAGCCTTAACCGAGGTTTAAAAATACGCTGGAAGCACAAAGTTTGAAATGAAATCATGACTGTTTTGAATGGCAACTTGCCAAATATGTCATATCACATTTATGTTCACAAGAAGTAAGCACCATAAACAATTGACGTCATTCTGTATTTGACGGGTTTGATGTGCCAGGACTAGAGTATATCTATGATGCATTTCACTAGGCAGACTGTGAGTTAAATTGCACTGATACAAGATTTTCGCATGGATGTGCTTCTGAACCCAAGCGCATTAGTGTTATTGCATGTTCCTCCAGTGTAATTGTAGCCGAACTGGCTGGAAATCGCTTCCGCCCCTTCAAGGTTTTTGAACGATACGTCACTTGTTATTCTTTGATTGATTGATTGATATGTGGGGTTTAACGTCCCAAAACCACCATATGATTATGAGAGACGCCGTAGTGGAGGGCTTCGGAAATTTTGACCACCTGGGGTTCTTTAACGTGCACCCAAATCTGAGCACACGGGCCTACAACATTTCTGCCTCCATCGGAAATGCAGCCGCCGCAGCCGGAATTTGAACCCGCGACCTGCAAGTCAGCAGCCGAGTACCTTAGCCACTAGACCACCGCGGCGGGGCGT